CCATTTCATATCATTTCCTTTGCCTAATACAATTTTGCTCCACTCACTTCCTTTATGCTGTTATTCATAGATATATTTCTACTTGTTATAGCTGAAAGTACACTTATATGCACATTGTTTTATATAATTGATTTTTAAATTAAGAGAAGAAAGTAGAAGAAATATGCAATTATATTCTCTTTTGTAATTACATAATTACACTCACTGGAGCTCTCTGGCTTTTTGTGTAGGCTTGAATTACTATCTGGGGACACTTGCTTTCAGCCTAAAGAACTTTCTTTAGTAATTCTCATAAGGCAAGTTTGCAAGCAACAAATTCTCTTGGGTTTTGTTTATCTGGGAATGTCTTTATTCTCCTTTGTTTTTGAAAGATAGCTTTGGTGGCTATAGGATTCTTGGTTGCAAGTTCTCTGAGCACTTTGAATATGCTTTCCACTGCCTTCTGCCTAACTAGTTTAGCTGGTGTCCAGTCTTGTCTCTCTTTAATCCAGTCACATTGCTGCCAGAGTGTTGTTTTTATAACACAAATCTTACTGAGATGGTCCCTTATTTAAGATATTTAAACATGTTCCTCTTTCTACAGAGTGAACACTGATCTCTGATAGAAAGGCATTGGTTCTCCATGATCTATACCCTGCTTTCCTTGGGCCACGTCTCTCGTTTTAGTCCATGCTCTACTCATACTGCACTACTTAAGGTTTTTTTCATACTCACAGGCTATTTTATGCATCAGTGCCTTTGCTTCAGTTGCTCTTTCTGCTTGGAAACCACCCACTCCAATCTCACCCCCTGTCTGGGAAACTCCTACACAACTCTCAAAAAGGAGCTCGGTCATCACTTCCTCTAAAATTCTTTACTGATACCTTTGCTAGAGTTGGCTATTTCCTCTTTGTGTTGGTCCACTGATCTCTAGGCAGTCTTATATTAGGATACTTTTGGCACATAGATTTCTGTTAATTATTTACCTATAAATTTACTCTCATCTTTTTTTTTAATTTCAGCATATCATGAGGGTACAGATATGTTTAGGTTACATATGTTGCCCTTGCTACTCTCATCTTTAAGAGCTGTTGAAGGTGTTAATAGCAGCCAACCTGAATTGAGTGCTTATTACGTGACAGGCATTTCACATTTTTTTCTCATTCAATTCTGTAACTCTATGAAGTAGGTACTATTTCTACCTCCCTTTTGCAGATGATGAAACTGAGACAGAAAGATGATCCAGATAGCCAGATAATTAATTGCTGGTAGAGTTGAGATTGATACTAGGACTGTCTCACTCTTGTCCACATTCTTAACCAGCAAACCGTGCCTTCTCTTGAAGGTCAAGAACCTAGTACAGAGCCTGACACATAATCATGCCCAATAAATGTAGGTTGAATGTGGTAGTTTGATAATGAATTTTATTGTTTTAGTTTAAGACATTAAAAAAATAGGATTTTGAATTCCACTTCATCATTTTAATTTTTATTATTTATATCTCTGTGGTGACTAACTATAAAATCCTTAAGTAAAAAATCCCTTTCTAGTATTCCTGGGGCATTTGTGAAGGAGAGAATGTGGAAGATGTGGCCTACTTTGTAGCAATGATGCTTCCAGTCTATCTGTATAGAAAGAGTGATTCAGGGTTGGCCATATGATTGAAAAGGGGCGGGACCTCTAGATTTGCAAATCACTTTACATAAAATTCAGAAATGGTTGACTCTCTATCTAGAAATATTATGGAGGTGATGGTACCCTCCAGGCCCCCAGAGACTCCTTGATGTAGCCACTGCTCTATTATTGGTAGGAGAGGGAGAACATCTAAAGGGAGAAATTAGCTTTAGATAGTAGAAATAATATATATATGTTTAAAAAAAACAAAAACCTGACTGAATCATTAGGGCCTGCTAGAAAGACAAAAGGAAGTAATAAAAGTAAAAGGAAGTAGTCTTAATTGGCAAAATTTAACCAATATTTCATTTGATGATGTAGTCTATAACAGCATCAACGTGATAGAGCCTCCTTTTTGGATTTTACTTTGTGGTTCTCCGTGTGCTGTTCCCTGTAAGTTACAACAATGCTGACACATGGGTTCTCACTCTTTGGGCCTAAACCAACCTGGTCCTAAGGCAACCTTCAATCCTCTGTGGATCCTCAATCATTTTCTCATGGAGCTTCATTCACTGACACCAGATCCAAACGCTGGGTGTTCATGGAGAATTTCCCTGGTAACAAGAGTATCAAGAGACTTCTCTTCCCTCGGCACATTATTTGTGTCACAGACGGAACTCGCATGAGACCGGGGAAGACCCTGAGAAATGACTAAGGGAAATAACACTTCATTTGTTCCCTTTGCCCTTCCCTTCCAGCTTCACCCTTCTGAAGTAGGGATGTAATGACTGGAGCTCCATTGGCCATCTTGATTCATGAGGTGACCATGAGAATGGAGGCCACGTGTTAAGAATAGTGGAGCAAAAGGTTAGAAGACACTTGGGGCCCCCATGACTATGGACCCACTATGCCAGCTCTAAATCTGTTGAAACTTCAGCCTTTTTACATATATGAGAAAACAAACCTTTATGTATTTAAGTCACAATTATTTTAGGGTCTCTGTTACTAGCAGCTGAGTGCAATTTCTAACCATGATAGGGCTTGACATGACAATAAGACGTTATAAGTATGAGATCCTGCAAAACACAATATGCAGAATTCAGGAGGATTTATTAATAGGGTTGGTACATTCACTTTTTCTGAACTTTTGAGCTGTAGGTCAAGATTGTCTGTCTTACTTCTCAGTGCATACACCAGTGTGTGTGTTGGTGCGTGTAAAGTAGAAGACTCCCGCTGGGGAAGGGATTGTCTGTGTTTTTCCAAAAGCAGTAATTTCAGTACAATGTCTTGGACCTTTAGTATTTAAAAAGGAAATTTCCTTTGACCAGTTCTTTTACTGGATTGCCACTCAGAAAAATATAGAGTTTTAAGCAATAATTTGTTAGTTATCACAACTTTTTAAGCAATTATTTTTAATTACTGTATAAATTCTTAACCATTATGGAAGAGCTACTCTCTATGAGTGCCAGCTATGTGCAGACACTACTAGGTGTCTGTGTCTACATGCGTTGTATCACTTAACACTCTCCATAACCCAGGAAGGTTAAAAATGCCTACCGTGGTTTCCTTTCCTAACCAGCAAAATAAGCTTGTTAATATTTGAGTTAATGACCTAGACCAACTTTTTAATGAATCTGTTTTATCTAGATTACAAAAGACTTCTTCCTAGTAGACAGTCACAAAGGCCCAGCTGGAAAGGAACAGTATTATTTCCCCTGGGGCATCAGGCATCATTAAAATCAGAGACTCTCTCCTTCTCCACCCTAAAATTTACAGAGTATTTTGAACCTCTGCCCTCATCTTTTGCTTTAACTGTTAATCCTCAACGCAGCCTGGTTGGAGGTGTGTGTTTTACTGAGCATGCTGCGTAGATGGTAGATTAGACCCAAGATGGGGTGAGAAATGGAGAAGAGAGAGAATGGGAAAGTGGATAATCCCCCCAATGAGAATCAGACTGGGAACACTCTTTATAACATTAACTGAATAATCCTAACATAAAAACTTCACACTTTTGCACACACACTTACACGTGCTTCTCTTGATCTCATTCATTCTCTGAAAATCCACAGGGAAATCAGATTTCTCGATATCTATTTCCCCTTATGTCAGCACTGTGACTACAATCACCTTATCTTAAAGAAAATGTTTGGAGAATCGTACTTTGCCCAGAAGATAGTAGGGGCTTAATAAATGAATTTCTGTCACTATGTTTCAGAAAGGAAGATCCGAGAGAAAAACAGCTGGCTTAGTGATTTAAGCACTGGTCTGGAAGTGACAACTCATTGCACCACATAATACTTGCAGGGCTCTCAGTAGCCCTGAAGGGTCAGTAGAGTCCACATTTGTTTGAAATTCTTTTTCACAAAATAAATTTTCTTTCTTGTGGAATATTTCTGTTATATGCTCCAGTTATATTACTTTCTCAGCTCTAAATTGGGGGAGATAGTATCAATTAGGTGGAAGAAGACAAATATTTAGCTTAAAATTTCTTTTATGCCACACAAATGGTTATTAAAAATAGGTAATATAAAATAAACTAAAAGCTCTTGGGCCGAAGTTGGGTATTCTGCTTCCACCCAGACCCTATCATGGATCTACAGTATTTAACATAGTCACCTGCTTAGAATCTGTTTTTGCTTCTCTCTTTTGAAGTTCAGGGAAACAAGCCAACTCAAAGAGAGAATCGGAAACAGAGGGAAGCTGGGCAGAGGCAGAGATGGTCTTTGAAGGATCTTGGCAAAGAGCTACACTCATTCCTCAACATGCATTAGTGAAGGATAGAAACTCAGTAGCGGAGACAAGGTGCGACTTGCTTGCAGTGTCTGAATGAAAAATCACACTGAATTGAGATCTGCTTATGATAATCCTCTACAGGACAGGCATGGAAATTATATGGTTCCATTTAGATAAGAAGAATCTTCATGTTCTAGGCCAGATAAAATGGCTTAGCCATAAGGCCTTTTCCTTTCAGCAGAACTTTTCTTCAAAGAGCCTCACAGTCGTGACCACATCCATTTTGCCCCACATCACAGAGTATTCTGGAATGTATCTGATACTTACCTAACAGAAGGGGCAGTTCCTCCTCAGGCATTCCCAGTGCAGAGTTAGGTATTTGGCAATGCTGCACCCACTTTTTTAGGCCACTGGGGATCCAGTTAACGAGTGCATTGAAAGATTAGGAAGTTTGATGTCCTAGCGACTAAACAATGGGACTATTGAACAGATATTTCACTCGTCATTTGGAGGGTTCCATATCTTGAACACAGTCGACCATTTGTAGATGGCACTCCAGTGGCCGAAAGGAGTCAATGGGCTAATTGCAAACTTGCCTTGCATTCTTTCCTGTAAAAGGCTTTTTGTCCTTCCCATTGAATATACTTAGGCAGTCAAAAAGAGAAAAACCATACCTGTAGTATTCATCTCCCACAAAGAACAGGGTCTTCTGCGGCTCCCTGAGATAGACGGCAGCATCTATTCGCTGCACGTGCCTTGGGAATCCGAAGTCGTAAATAGTCCGAGGAGGACCCTGCATTTGGAATCCCCTAGTTACCCAGTAGTGGGGGCCTGAAAACAGAAATCAACATTTATAAAAGCTCTGGACCAATTACTGATGCAATTCACTCATAAAGATTTCTATGAAGCATCATAAGGGGGATTAGTTCATGGGATATTTGCCATGGCTAAGACCCAATAGAAAACATAATCCTCTAATTACTTAATTCAGTAAAAGACTTCAAACTGCCCTGGAGGCAAAATCCCTGGTTATATCTTAAAGAAGCAATAACACTGATACAATTGTATCTTACATTAAGCATATTAATTTTTTCAAGATACCTTTCATTTATAACCTCATTTCGTCTTCATATATCTATGAGAGAGAAGGGGCAAGTGACATAAAAATGCTATGATTTTTATTTAAGTTGGCACCGGCCTTCTACTCTTATCCCTCAGCATCAAGAAAATAAAAGCTAAAACTGACAGTTACCACCTATCAGATTACTTCCATTGACTATACATTGTCGCAACACATCTTCGAGGTTTATATTACCATAATCACTTTGCAGAGGAAGGTGCGAAGGCTCAGAGATAACCTAGATAACTTCCCAAAGTCACTCAGACCATAAAGAGCTGGGGCCACAGATTGGCATCGTGTGTGTCCACCTCCTAAAGTCAAACGCGTTCTCATCTCCCTACTGCTTCTGAGCACGGCCTGGCAGCGAGGGTATCGTTTACCCCACATTGGGTTCCAGTTGGCTTCTGCTAATTAAAGGCCGTCCATGGAGTATGCCGTGTCACTCTGAGCAGAGGTGCTGGGGATAGGGACCAGGATTCTAGCTCCCTGGACACCGTCACCTAACACAGTGCCCCACTAGGCTAAAAGGCTTGGTTCTGAGAACAGTTTCATAGTCACCATCATTACTGTCATCGTCACAACAGAGAGGGTGGCATTTCATACCCAGCCTGAGAAGAAGGAGCAACTGCAACATGCTCCAGGATCACAAAACAAACGCTGTCGGTGCTAGACATTCCAAAGAGATGGGGCCCCGCACCCCTGCCATTTGTTTCTTTGAGGGACCTGTAAGGTACCTTTGAAGAAGTAAGCGGTGCCCCTCTCAGCCACTTCGTAAGCTGCATCCACATTGGACATGAGCTGGGGGAAGGAGCTGGTGATAGTGCTGGGCCGGATCCCGGATGGCACGTGAACCTGCCGTCGCCAGAAAATCCTGTTGGGCGTTCCAAAAGACATCAAGATCAAGGGTTGATTTAGGTTTTAAATTGCACTTGGACTGAAATGTACTCAGAGGCTGTTGCCAAACAGCCTTTGCCCTTGCCTTGTTTCTAAGGAAACACAGTTTTTTGACTTTGGTAAACAATGTCCTCTCTCTTTTCATTGTCTTAGCATCTCTGTGATCTCCTTTCGTTTATTTAAGAATGTTCAAAACGTGGAAGGGTACAGAGATAGCATCAATGATTTACACGTTTAAGCTGATCACCCTCCTGTTCTAAATATCACTCGTTACAAATTTCTCTTTTCTATTCTGATCTTTTAAAAATTAAAATCTCACAAAGATAAATATGATCTAGACAGTTAACATTATGAATAGTATATAAATGAACTAAGAGTTTGTGGTTGGGAGATGCTGATTAGTCTCTGTAAAAATAGCAAAAACATTAATAATCATAAATTATGGCATTGCTTACATCATTGTGTACTAGAAGTGCTTGCAGTTTTGAGCCTGATGGCTAATTAACAGAAAATCCAGGACACACATATTAATTTAAGGCTTAGCAGCTCATCCATCCACTTGTCCAATATTATTTTCATAAAATTGTGGCAGTAGACACATGAGGGTACTGGGTTGATCAATGTAAACATGGTCTATTTTGCATTTTGGAGATGAAAATCATTTTTATAAAACATGAATAGTTTAATTGGCTTCATAGAAGCCCAGAATCAACATATAAGATTATTTCTGGATGGGGAAACTGTAATAAAATTTTGACATTTAACTTTCCTGGTAACTTAGGAACTCCCAAAATCTTATGTTGTGTTTTCTCATCTGTTGATTTAACAAACATTGATTTGTTGATTTAACAAATATTTATAGAGCACCTATCACTGGGCACTATAGACATCAAGGATGAAACACTGAACAAGACCCAGGCCTTGCCCTCAAGATGTTTAGAACCAAGAAGGAGAGACTGGTAAGTAATTAGGCGATTATAATTTAGAGTGATCAGTGCTATGAAGAGTTAAGTTCAGGATGCTCCAAGAGCGCTCAGGAGGGATACTCCCCTGAATTTAGGGGTTTAATGAAGTTGTCCCAGATGAAGCCATTTAAGCTGATAATAAAATCTGAAAGAGATATATTGAAAAGGGAAAAATATTTCTTCATGTTTCCTAAGAGGCATCATGATGCAGAAGGAAAAGCACATTGTGTTTCAGATGATAAATGTTACAGTTCCAACTCCACTGCTGACCAGCCTTTCCAAGCCTCAGTTTTATCATCTCTAAATGGGGATAATAATTCCCTGGCCAATCTCATGAGATCACTATAAGGATCAAATGAGATAATGCATTTGAAAGTATATTATAAACTGTAAAGTGCCGTATGGATAGGTACTGTCCATTTAAACAATGGTTATCTGCCTAGGTCTTAATTACCCACTAATTGGGAATCCACCACAGACATTCACAGGCCCAAAACATCGCAGCCTTATCCAGATTAACGGATGAAAAGCAGATCTAGAAACACTGCCAGACCAAGGGAACCTGGTGGTTGTGGGCAGGGAGAGGCTGGCTTAGACTCCAGCTGTCTGGATTTTCATCATACGCCCTGTCTCATCTACTGCTCATTCTCAGTCTTGTGATCTCTGCTTTTTCTTTATTTGTAACTTAACCCTTCGTCCAATCAGACCTGGACTTTCCTGGAGGCAAGAGGGACAGCTTCCCTCTTTTTTTTTGTCTCCACCATCTCACAGTGAGCACAGTTTGGGGTGTCCAGGAGAGTTCAGCAACTATTTCTCAGATTAACTGGGAACCTGGGGAGGAATCTGAAAAGCAAGTGTTTTCCAATTAATTCGATTCCATACATAGTTCTGAAAGGCTGGCTCTGCTCAAGTCACTGTGCTAAGTAAGACACAAGGTGTGCATGTCAGGGAATTGTAATGGTGGGGATGAGGCTGTGGGGAGAGAGGCATTCTGAAGGACTGGCCAGCAGGATTGGAACACTAATTTGGTGAGAACAATGGAAAAGGGAGAGTCAAAGAAGGTAGCAGCCTCACGATCAGAGGTCAGCAGTGGAAAATGTTGCTGAGGTCACCAGACTAAAGACTGAAGAAAAGCGGCTGACTGGCCGGGATAATGAAGGAGCATAGCTGCAGGGGGGCAGTGAGGAAGGAAGCCAGGTCACAGTTCAAGAGCAAATGGAGCAAACGCTGGGGGAAATGAAAGGGGTAGATACAGATCATTTGTTTGAGAATCTTGTTAACAACAAAGGAAGTTGGTGGAGGCAGCAGGGTCCAAAGAGGATTTCAAAGATAGAAAATGTTCTTGTCTGAAGACATGAAAAGGAGCCAGTGGGGAAAAAGAAATGCAAAATGCTGTAGGAAGGAGGACAACAAGGCCAGTGACCACTAGCACGTTTGGAATAGGGATTTCCCAGGATTGCAGATGAGGAGGATTCTTCTTCCTGCGCTTTCTCCCCGGGCTGCGTCTATTCTGACTGCGAGGTTGCTTCACTGAAAGTCAACAAATAGCACTGTGTTTACTCAGACTGGTTCTCTGTATTCTAGTAAGAATTCAGACATAGAGGCAGAAGGTGATCTAAGATCCCTGACTCATTGTCATTTGTGGAGTGAGGACGGGCCCCTTTTACACCTTCCCATGTTATGACCGATGGACATGGGTCCCCACAGCCTCCTCAGATGGGTTGAAGCACTCTCAATTTACGAACACCATGTACAGCTTTGACTATTTTTAACCCACACCACTATCTACACGTGGGTTTTTAATTTTTTGAGCTGCGTTTTTCTTGGGTTCAGTGAAGTGGATGACGCATGGCTGATTTCGTGGCGTCTGAAGTATTCGGAGCTAAGAACCCTGGTTAATGATCACCGCAAAATGAATGACTTCTCAGCCCAGGATGTGATGGTTTGTACTTCAGAGTTCCCAGTGAAACAAATTTGGGAGGAAACTTAGCTACATCAGTAAACTCTAAGTTTAAATTTTACATACCCTCCATTAATACATTTTTAGAGTGAAAATATGTCTTTTCAAAGTATCTGCAAATAATCGTAAGAGTAATCCAGAGTTTATGAAAAACCTTCATATGCATTATCTCAGTTGATCCTTCGAAGTATTTGTGCAAATATCCTTATTATTCTCACTGTTATTTGACAGAGGGAAATTGAGCCTCAGAAAAATTAAGTGACTCACACGAGCTCACATACCCAGGGATAAAACAAGGTTTCAAGCATCACTTGTTTCTTTTACTGCACCACATTGCCTGATCTCAGGGGAGTGGGCAGCAAGGAAACTTAGAGCATCAAAAAGATAAAAAGAAGAAAGAAACTATTCCCCAAAGTAGCAACAGGATGACAGAGAAGAGCAGAATCCGGGAGAGTGTGAGGCTGAAGGGGGCCCTCCTTCGCTGAATTGCCTTGAGGGCCCAGCAGTAGGAGGCGAAGGCATCTCCTGAAAATGAGAGACTGATGGGGCCAGCTCAGGTGGTGGGGAGTGAAGATGGTTGGAGGTAACAAAAGAAGGACAAAGAGTCAACAACATGAATCAAGTCCCTCGGTGCTCCAGGCACCATACACACAAGGATGAAAAGATGAGTAATATTAATACAGAATCCTGCCCGCAGGGACTGGCGGAGAGCTGCCAGAGGCCAGGTGAAGGTTACCAGTGACCTAATCTCAAATTTGATCAGTTATTGTTCTTTAGTAAAAGGGAATGAAACTTTCAGAGAATATGAAAATCGCTGATGAAATAAGTTCTGCTCAACCCTCTGGCACACATTCATTTAGCCAACAAATATTTACTGACCTTGACTATGTGCCAGGCACAGCATTAGCTACTGTACATGAAGATAAATATGCGGCTGAATATCTAATGTGAAACATCAATAAGCTCCATTGTTCTGCCTTCTTTATCAAAGAGCAGATTACAGGCTGTTGATATGATCTGTTTCTCTATTTTCGTTACCCAGTTCCAATACATCCTGCAGCTGTTCTTTCCTAGCAGGCTCATAGATTTTTTTTTTTGCTTATATTTTAAATGCATTTAGAAATGTACAAGGAGGTTACTTGCCAAATTTTGTGAATTTGACTTCATTTATTACTGTAACCTATAGCTCTAAGGATGTAAATCCTGTGAGTATGTTGTTTTCTTACCCACCAGACATAATTTTTCTTCATTTACTGAAAATTTTTATAATTACAGATCCCTTTTGAAATTTATGATAATTTACATAAATGATGGATAGTGTTTATTTCTATCTTATGTATACAGTGTATACACTGTAATATGTCAGAACAGTGTTTAAAGCAGGGTTTCTTGACTTTGACACTACTGATATTTTGAGCCAGGTAAGTCTTGTTGTGTTGAGCTGTCCTGTGCCTCGTGGGATGGTTAGTGGTATCCCTGCTCTACACATTAGACACAAATGGCACTACCCATCCCAGTCGTGACAACCAAAACAACCACCAGATATTGCCAAATATCCCCTGGCACACAAAATCACCCTTGATTTAGAACGACTACTCTCCTTCAATTTAGTCCTCACAATGCCCACAATATCCTAAATCAAGGCTTATTTAGGAAGAAATTTCAAGGTTCTACCACCTGTGAACATTCCAAAAGTACATTTTCAGTTTGCCAACACACTTACGCACTACACTTTACTAGCTCTCATAATGAGTAGTCATTCAGGATATCAGTGTCCCAAAACTTCAAATAAAATGCAGCATTTAACTTTGTCTAGAGTTGCTTGTTAATTGTTAAAATGAGAAATGAAAGAAAATGACCAAGGAGAAAGCAGCTGGAAGTCAATGACCCCTCAGCGGAGGTGTAATCCAGACAGAGCCTAGTGTTGGGAGCGTGTGTTTGCTCCTCTGCGTGCTGAGGCTGTGTGGAGAAACACGTGAAACATTTTTGGGAAACCTAAGACAGTGGAGGAACATCCTCCTCTTTGTGGCAGGTTACCCCACCTGCAGGCAGAGGGCCTGGGAGCACAGGGACAGCTCAGAAGTGCTTTTCCTATTAACTCGAATGTGTAATAGTCCAAAGGCAGAGGTTCATTCAAGTTAAAATTCAGTGCTTTTCTTGGTAGTTCCATTTCATAGCCAGAAGGCTTTCTATATTAATGATCGGACAGCCTCTGGACTGGGGGTCAGAAGGCCTGGGGTGCAATGGAGGGGATACCAGGCTGAGAGACCTGCAACTAGTTTCCTTATCTCTGAAATGAAGTATTTGGACATGATCGACGTTTATGCTTGCTCCATTTGTAAAATCTATTATTCTTCTAAGGACTATAGCTATTTGTGATCATCTTGCTTTTATTCTTAAAATTACATTGGGTAAAACCCAGAATAATCTGACAGATGCAAATATAATTTGGGTATAGCTACAATTCCAGCCATTTCTTTCTTCTCTTCCCTAAGTGACAGGAAATCTGAGATAGCCTTAATATTTTATCATCTATCATAAAGAGTAAATGTATATACATTAAAAATATATATGCCTTTCAACTCGTCACGGCTAAAGTTTCTTTCTCTTCAGACTGAACATTTGAATGTACATTTACACATGAGGGAGAACATCTAACAATCTCACGGTGACTTTAAAAGGTACTGCATTCCATCTTGCTTTGGAAACAAACCATGTGCCTATTATGCCCACGGCTTGAATGTCCCATCCACAGATTATTGCTGGTGACGGGGAATTCCAGGCTGGTGAATGAGTGGGAGAGGATGGGCTGGGAGCTCTTTCATAATCAGTGGTTCCCTGGTGGTCATTGTAACTGTGGCTTGAAAGAACTCTTTGTTCTTTGTCCAGGCTTAGCAAGCACTTTGGGACTTTTGGTGGTAACTGCTGGGGGATCAGCACAATAGAGTCACAGCATTCTAGCTCTAAATGGCACCTCAGTATGGCAGGGCGGTTAGCGTGGGCTCTGGAATATGACAGTTTGGGTTCAGATCCCAGCTCCACCCTCCCTAGCCATGTGCTCCTGAACAGGTTGCTTGTCCTTTCTACCTTGTAAAAAGAGAGTAATACTTCATTCATACCTCACAGGGGTATTGTAAGGTAGGATAACAAGGTGCCTGACATAGTGAGTACTGAACATAATAAAGTCACTGTTCTTATCAGACAACACCCTCACTTTACAGAGAAGAGAGTTAGTGGCAAATCCAGAGCTAGAAGAAACCACTCCTGACTCCATGATCTCCTTATAGCTCATCCTAGTTCTTTGGAATTACCTGTCCTACCCCCAATAGCTCATCAGATCTGAAGTGGGAGAAACTGAGAAGGTGTCGGCTAAGCAGACACAGGTTAGGGGGCCATCTCTCCTTCCCTCAGACCTTGCTAATGATTAGTTTCCAGGTGTCTCTTGCAGCTATGCCTCCCAGCTATTCTGTTACCACTCTCAGTATTGATAGTCAAGACTATGTTAAAAGATGTAACAACTTCACGTACTCATAAGTAATTGCTAAATGCTCACAATTTGATAAACAGAGGGGTTCTTTTTGTTGTTTGTTTTTGCCTTTTTAAGAGAACAATGACCATCGAATGAGATGGCATAATATCTTTGACTTCCCTGTTTCCTTTGCCCCTACCACAACCACTGATGTTTACTGAAAGAATAAGCTGCATTCTCCACGATGGCTAGCATCTCGCATCTTTATCCCCGAACTGTATAGTTATTGATATATCCTTTTCCAGCGTGCAGGCAGTGTAGAGGCTGACAATGTCATCCTCAGGGGAAGCCCATGTTACCTACTGCTGTGCTCTAGGCTTCTCCCGCCCTGCACCTTGCCCCCCATTCCTGGGTCATTGTCTGCCAATTCCATTTGCTTTACTTTTTGGTAATAATCAATAAAAATAACATCAATAATCAATAAGTCTT